TCTCCCCCACCCCAGTGTGCTTCTGCAGCAGACAGTAAGGAAGATTCTCTGGGGAGGGAGGTGACCACTGTCCATCTGTACCTTTTGCTGGCTGGGATAGACTCCAGCTCCCCTGTGACCCTTAATGGGGTAAAGCATTCAGAAAATGGATGGGTGGATAAACCAACTGTAGAATAGGTTACAGTTTAGAGTCCTAATGTCACTTACATCAAGCTCAAAGCCAGGTTTCTGTTACGATTATATTCAATGCTGTATGGAGACAAAATATGGATTATTCAGGCAAGTGTGTACCTGAGCTAAACATTTCATAAAAATGAGCAGATTTTAATGCTGAGAGACATTAAAACACAATGAATTAGTCTTGTACCAATAGCATTTTTCACAAATGTACCGCCTCTCACTACGTACAGTATGTTAGATCTGGATGTAGTTAAGAGTTTTGGACAACCTGTCAGTATTTAATTTCCTTCCTGACACGACCCTCCAACGTATCGTCAAACCAAGAGGTTCTTGGTTTGGTGATCTGACTCAGGTGTCTGCTATACCTTGTCTCAGTCACGTCCTCAACCACAATGCCTTTAAGAGCTGTACAAGCTGCACGCTCTGCTGCCCTTTTCAAGGAAGCCCTAATGCACACAAATACGCAAACACACGCACAAGCTCTTTCACTTTCAGTTCACAGTCTGACCCACAGACCCCCCCCAAACCACAGCTTTCCTTCTTTGACTCTCGATCACAGCCTTCACCTCCTGACCTGCGTCCTGCTGCCTTATGTAGCCAAGACAAGAGAGACAGCAGCTCTGTTCTCTCAGTTCTCAGTTCCAGATTGCTTTAGTCCCCAGAACAGGAAGATGGGACTGGTCAGCAGCCCACTGCCAGAGAGAAGTAGGTCCGAGAGGGACTGGTTTCTTCTGGGTTCTGGTCCAACTGGTAAAGTTCATTGCTTTCCTAGACATTGGAGTATTTTCTGTAATGTCTTCTACTGTTGTTTGCTTAAAACATTCACAATACCAAAGGCATAATTGCCTATAAAGCACTTTGGAGCCTAGAAAGAGTATTAAAATAATGCTGTTAGTTAAATCATCAGATCAGGTATGCAAACCAGAGACTGTTCTACTGTACTGGACTATAGCTCCTATTGTAAAAGGACTGTCCTACTGCACTGGGACTGTAGCCCCTATTGTAACAGGACTGTTCTACTGTACTGGGACTGTAGCCCCTATTGTAACAGGACTGTTCTACTGTACTGGGACTGTAGCCCCTATTGTAACAGGACTGTTCTACTGTATTGTTATAAGATATTCGGTTGGAGTTTACAGTGCTGTGCACTCAGACATGAGGTTCTCCACCAGATGGTGTCACATCAACAGCTGTTTTGTTTTTTCAAACTTTTGACGTGCATTAATGAAAAGGAGAAAAAGTATCCCAAAAAAATGAGGGAAGAAAAAAATCACAAAACGAGCCTCTGCCAGAGGTAATTACAGGTCAGAACACCATGTTATTTTTTACAGACATCACTGCTGTTTCTCAAGTTTTTAATGGATGTCAAGTGATAATGCCTTTCCACTATTAGCACTGACGGAGGAGCAGAGTTGAGACCTTCGTGTTTTGTGAATATGAGATCTACAGTATCTAGTATTACCAACAGATTCATTATAAATAAATGTTATTTTTCCATCTTACATCGCGCAAAGTATGACATTTCAAACTGTTTCAATCTAACACTCATATTCAAATGCGTAAAGACAACGTTTCTGCAACTCTATCCTAAACAATTTTGTTTTGACTGTTTACAGTAAATGTGTCAGAGTTTCTTTTCCAGCCTCTGGGGCAGGAAGTCTCTCTGCTCACTTGTAAACGGGCTGATCCAGAATATGGTGGCTTATTAATAATCAATAATAGTAATTCCTTATATACAGTAGCACCTGTCTGCACACCCCACTCAGAGCACTGTACAGCTCCTGGGAATCCCCTCCACCCCCACCTGGATGATGCTCCAGTCCTCTCACACACACCAGCTCTCAGTGGGAGGAGAGCAGAGGGATGAAGCCAATTATTAACAAGAAGGGTGATCGATCTGTTTCTTTCAAGTGATTTGGGTGAACACTGCTCTTGTAATACAGCCATGTCTACACTGAGTGTAGCTCGTATTGGACCTGTCCTGCTGCACATCTCCTGGATCTTGCTGTTGGAATAGAGGGACAGCATGTTGAGGAACAAGTAAAGGTTTGTTCCCTGCTGAAAAGAGAAGAAAAGAAACACAACATTTCAGCTGTGGAGCCTTCTTCAGGTGTGAAGAAACAGATTCCACAGCCGAAACGTTGCGTTTTCTCTCTTCTCTTTTAACATAATAAACATAACTTATATCGTGATGGGTTAAACAGGAGTCAGGATCACGTAATATTGAAACTAATAATAAAAAGGTCGGAGCGCCCTCTAGAGGAGAGATGGGGGCCGTGACAATGGGTTCAATAGTAATGAGTTCTCGTTCGCTAATTGAGTCCCCGTGGGTTCCTCGCGGATCGAGTCTCTCATCCCCGCAGAAGCGGAAGTGGGTGTAACCATGGTAATTAACGGCGGCAGTTAATTGGCTCACTGACTCACTAACGCGAATCTGGAAGCCAGCTTCTGCCTCGTCCAGGCTGGGGCTTCAGTCCAGGGTTACGGGGGGTCAAAGCCTTAGGGCACCCCCATATCTGCCGCAGCCTGTTAATTAACCGACTCCTTAACTGATCTAAGGAGCCCCTGGAGCGCTGTGGACGATGATTCGCAGGTGAAGTGGGGGACGCGTGTAGGATGGAGGTGTAGTGTCTCCTGTTATCAGCTCAGTTTCTTCACAGCGCTCTCGCTGGAGCAGGACCCCGCGGAATGGAGGGGGGTACCCAACATCCCAAGATCAGAATTGGGGGGGGGGCAGAGTCCCCCGTTAAATTGTTCAGATCTCAGCGTTAAGGAGCGAGAGAGAGGGAAACAGAAAAAGAAACACTCCAGTTAACTTTAACCCCCCGTGACCCCTGACCCCGGCAGAGAGGGGAGGGGAAGTCGGGGGGAGCTCGTGTTAAATAATGCTGCCCCCCCCCACACACACACACACACACGCACACGCCGAGGCGCCTGCAGGAGGGAGAGAGGAAACTGCGCAGTGTGAGAGGGAGGGAGAGGGAGACGCGGACGAGTCCGGTGAAGAGGGGGTACCGGGGTACCGGGGTACCGTGAGCCCCAGGCGGACAGCTGTAACCGCAGTGACTGT